CATACATTGATTGTTGTAGTTATCTATTTGTAATTATTTATACAATTATAATTCACTCCATATAAATACTATGAATTTTATCCTACATTTTTTTATTAAAATTTTATAATTCCACCATCCATCTTTTTTGAACTAAACTCATTAAAATTATCTCTCTATTTTATTTCCCTAACACGGGATGAAAAATCTAGTATTCTTTTATTTTAAAACCTTATAGTGTTTTTTCAGGTTACATAATGAGTCTTTTTTAGGAAAAAAAAGGTTTAAGGAGTCCACCTGCTCATATTAGTCGGAAAGTTACTTGTTTAATGCTTTATTTGTCTAGCCACATAAATATATTCTTTTTTTACTTTTAATAATGCAATAAATCTTTTAAGAGATTAATATTAAACACTTGGGTTGTACACTTTCCATATGATTTGTATTTTAGCCCAAACAATTTTATTTGATAAATTTAATGGTGGGAAAGCAAGGCCGTTGACTGTGAGATATATTGATACTCGCCCATGGAAGATGGTTTCCAAGTAGAAGATGATCAAAATCTATGGCATGAAGCAGTAGAGGACAAAGATTTGGTGCAGTGAGCTCCCTCCAAGTCCATGGTTGGTTGGAAATTTACATTCTCTTGATGTTGCCCGTTCTGCCATTCACGATGTCCTAGAGAGAGAGTGTGTGTGTGTGGTTCTGTGTGGTTTTTTTTTTTTAAAGGACAGGTGATTATATGGGAAATCGATCAAGAATCCAAACAATAATATACGTATCAATAATTGATGGATGGGATATATGATCTCATGATATAGAAGTGAGATCGTGGGTCCAAACTAGAGCCATCATAACCATGCGTGCTTAACCTCACACTTCTTCGTCAAACAACTGCTCAGGGATTAGGTTTGAGATTTGATCACTAATTCACACAAATGATGATCGAGTCAACGTAACTATCCACGCCAAACTAAAAAACTCGGGCTTCCACTCCCGCCTTTCACACGGGTTCACATTTCATTCATACATTATTATATACACAAGCCAAACTACAATAATTGTATTTCGTCATTTAATTAATTAATTAATGTGCCTCCACGGCACGTAGTGAAGAGCATACAGGTTAAGTTTTTGCCATCATGCATATGTGGAAAATGGGAGATTAAGGTGTCCCGGTTTCTAATCCAAGTTCAATTATTATAATTAACACGAGGTTGTAATTGTTTGGGCCCGTCTATAATTGTGATGGAGGCACTTCCATATGATATAAGCTTAACCTAACAATTATATATAATTGAACAAAAAGTGGTACAGTCACGATAATCATGGCCTGCCTTCATCGTGCATATTCCTTAACATTTGCCATTTGGCTATATAGTTTGCTGCCTATAATCTGATATAACGACATCATTATTTATCCATGACGCATCATTTTAAGGTTGTCTGGTTTAGATCTCATTCCTAATCATGCATCCCCCTCGTTGGTCATCGCCCGCATCTCAATTTCCCAAGAGTTAACCTGCATTATACGTCGGGATACATTTCCAGCTCCCTTGCTACGACTCTTCAAATTCCTGAGACTATATATAGTACACGTACACCGCAATATTCTACTTTAATTTCAGTAGAGCTGTGTGTGTGTGTGTAGTGAAGGTTTCGCGCGCGCGTGTAGCACGTAGGAGATAATCAATTAGCAAGTAGCTTTTGGGTGGTATATAGCGACCTGTTATTACTATAAATAGTAGAAGATGAGAGGACCGAAGAATTTGCCAATTTTCAGTAATTAATAATTCATAAGATCTTTCTCATTAGGTAGGGAAAGCCACCTATCCTTGGTATAGATATTCTCAGGTACATACATTTTGGCAGGTGCCAGAGGAGAGAGATCAAATCCTCGCCCTCGTCGCCAGTGCGTATGCGTGTGTGTATTTTTATACATCTTAATTTAATTTTCAGAATTAATTAAACAGGGAGGAAATTAAATTAAAGAAAAAGGGGGTGTTTGTGGAAAGGGAATTAATTAATTAGCCAGCTGGGAGGGAGAGTTAGATTCAATGGACACATGGAAAAGAATGGAAGAGGGTGACAAAAATATTATACATATATAATAAAAGCGTTGGGTATTATTACATATGAGATATGAGATAATGAGACGTGTATGGTTCTTTCGTGGTTGCGATGGGACCGCGATTGAGAAATCTGAGTTGGAGGGCTCTCATTGGTTAATGGGGGCCGCGCTTTCATGCAACAAATCAGGCTTTCTGATTCAGATGCAAGCATATTCTCATCCTCCCCCTCTTCCTTTATTTATTTTCTTTTCTTTTCTTTTCTCTTTTTTTTTTCTCTTGGTGAATCAATGCTGTTTATATCTGTCCTTTCTAATTTCTTCTCATCTACATGTCACAAATATTATATTACATTTCAAATTATATATCAAGTAAATATAATTGCACTAAAAAATAGTTTATAAATTATGCATTGAATCATTTCAAGTCATGTGGATTCCAAATATCCAGGTCAAATAAAATTACACACCACTTAACTCAAATAGGATTTTTAAATAAGAAAAATAAGTTCATTTCATCACAAATTTAACACCAATTGGTTGGAATTATGATTGGTGATGCATTAATTTATATGTAAAGTCATGAAAACAGTGCTCACAATATAGTTTTGATATGTGAATGCTTGCTGTGTACACGTCAATCTTCAAAAAATACATATTCAGATTTAATATATAAAACACTCGTTTCACTGAGAAAAATAGTTTGGGAGAGATGAATTTCGGTAAACGGACTGTGAACACCTTTTTACATAGTCAAAAATGACAAAAATTCTTAAATTCAGTACGGTAGATAGGTTTTCAACAAATCCTTCAGGCTACAGGAACGTACTCCAGCATTTATTTTGGTCCGTCGTCTTCTGATGTCATCAAATCCAAACTCCAAACCAAAATTATCTCACTTTGCACAAAATTAGGCATCGTCACAACAAAATTGAATGAAAAATCTAGATCAGATTATTACATCGAATAAAATGCTTTCAAAATTATTGATCATAACTTTTAATTAAATGAAAAAAGCAGCGCCATGTATTGGAAAAGTAATCATCTTCTGCCTAGAAATTAAAAGGGTCTTTAAAAAGTTTCTATTTGCTGTTTTCACCTAAAGTCGTGTGATCCTAGCAAATTACATGTATAATTTCAACTTCTTTTCAAATTGAAGGACACTTTAGGTCATTTGCCTGCCTAATCCAAGTGCGATTTCACTAGTCTTTTTCCGAAACTATGCTAATCACTATCCCTTGAACCATTCCATAAATGCTCTCATTTTCCTCCGTGGAAAAGAAACCCTAGCAAGTAGCAAGATATGACCACAATGATAAAAAGATAACACTAGAGGAAGGAATATAAACCCAAAAGGGTCGGTTAAGTTGCCCACAAGCATAAAACCCCCCACAAAGCTTTGCTTTGAATGGAAAAGATATGAGTCTCGCCTTTTTTCATTTTAAAATAAGATTATTCTCAAAAACTCACATGAACCTTTCTTCTCTTCCAATAACCGATACCCTAGCTTATCCCAATTTCCGCCAGATTTGCCGTACTTACTATGCTCATCTCACCGCTTTTAACCCCTTTTGCCTCTCTTTGCTTATGAATCCTTCCATCTTCACTTCCTTCTCCCACTCACATGTATTCAATTCCCATGTCTTTGATCCGATCTTATCCTTTCAGGCACAGTTATTACCTAAACGACACCTCCGAGATTAATTGCGAGCATTAAAGTGATTATATTTGACGCACATATACAAGTAGTCGTATATGCAAGTATCTGGCCAACAGGTAGCTTGAGAAAGGCGTACAAGACATGTATATGAATGTGTATACGAGTTTCTATATATTGTTTTGATTTGGCATACAGACGTCAGAAAATGGTACGTCCTGGCACACAGTTAAGAGCTGAATCATGGAATATTTTGGGGTAGGCATGTGATGACTACTAGGTTTTTTTTTTTTTTTTCTCCTTTGGATACAAGATTCAGGGGGCAGCCGAGAAAATCCATATCACTGTTTGCTGGTTTCTCGTTTATAATAGGCATGAGCGCCTTTTCGTGCCCTTTTAATATTCTGCAAATACCCTCCCCAGAGGCATCTTCTGCACAGATTCAGGGAATTATTCACATGCTTCCACAGCCTGATCCATCGGTGTCATTGCTTTGATCCCATTAATCTAGCTAGCTACATAGTATTAACTACTCGTGTATGTCTTTTTTTTTGGAATGATAATCAATCAATTAAATAATTAATATTTTGCTGCTGCTTACAATTAATGCTCCAACTAATATTGCACTGCCATTTACAAGTTGGTTTTTCAATATTCGAGCATGCATGTATATAGTATATATTCTTTTTTTTTTAACCTTAAAAAAGTATATGTAGTATTCATACATATGTAGGATGATCGGTCGATTAATTAGACGCAATTGCGCACGATCCTTTTGTTCGAACACAATCCTGACTTGCACTGTACAGATGCACTAAAGAAATTGAATCTAGATTACGGCCATGACTAGATTAATGAGTATTAATTGCCTGAGACTAGCTAGTTGCACGTACAACTATGCTCTTTTAATTGGAACGAATAAGATCAAGAGAGAATTTCCAAAGTCATACTACGCCATGTGCCTCTCGTACTCAAGACCTGAAAAATTTCAAAGGCGAACAGTCATGGCCTTAGTGGGAAGCACTACGCACCAGATGTAGAGCCTTTCCATCAATTGAAAATATGGAAATGGAATTAATGCTTCCAACTAAATGTGTGTGTGTATTGGTGGGGTGTCACATAGACATGCGATCGCATGGAATATATTAAACCACCAACGAATGATCTGGGATGAACTTCGACTTGGATTTGTGTGTGTGTGTGTGTGTAGCAAAAATACCAAAACTTGAATCATACACGGAGATGAGCTTGGACAAATAATTAAGCAGTTTATGGTATATATAAAGAATAAAAGAATAAAAACAAGCCCACTAATTATTATAAGAAAAAAGAAACAAAGAATATAGATGTACATGCAAGTCCTTTGGTATGATCTAAGGATGAAAATCTACCCAGAAAAGACTTGGATGTCAGAAATCTATACAGTATATTTTTGCATCCAAGGACTTTCCTTTCCTATGTCCGATATGATAAATCGGTGTTGAGGAAAAAAACAAAAAACCCTGTTTCAAAGTCTGAAATATATTGGGGATAATATATCCTAAGTATAAAACCACGATTTGGCAAGCTAGCTCTTCAATTCGCTCCGGGTCTACATATCTCATTGATTATACTCGTCAGTAGTCCCACAGGTATTCCAACTCAGAAAGGGGCCCAGCCGATGGAGCCTCAAGATCCTCGTATAATGCCTTGTTCTTTCCCATGTCGAGCTTGGAAACGGCCGAGGAAGTGTCGGTGTTTCTGTCGTTGCTGAGGCCCGTATCCTGCGACACGCTCACCACAGATTGATTGCCAGACGACACCAAAGGCTCCATCTTGCAGAGCTTGTCCAACCCAAATAAGCCGTTGTTGTTGTTCGCCGCAAATGCTCTCAGAAACGTCTGCTGCTGATCATTACTCACATAACCCGGATGATTCTGCTGGGAAAAGAAGCTGGGATTTTGGATTTGAAACTGAGGATGCGAGAGCGAGTCACTGAAGTTGGAATTGGCTGGATTGACGGTGTAATTGTTATTGGCGGGCACCATCATAGCCTGAGGCTTCATAATCAGTTGTTGCGGCTGATTGTTGATGATGGAGAGGTTGGGAACGTAATAGCCGTCGGGCGGTTTGGATGATGACATAGGTGGGGATGGGTTGGTCCCCTTGACGGCACCGTCGCTGTAGGCGGGCTTGAAAGGAGGATCCATGAGAGGCGGAAGTGAGGAACAGTCAAGCAAATCATCACCAAGAGAGTTGATCCTCAAAAGGCCTTGAATTGGGTTCTTTTTAACATCCGAGTTCTTGTGGAAAACCTTGCTTACAACCCATTCATCCTGCCAAATAATAAAAACTGTTAGATTCTGTTGATGATTAAAGTGAAGAAAGCAAAAAGGGCCATAATCAAAGGACCACACATGAAAGAAACTCTCAAACGAACACGAAAAGCCGCTTTCCAAAAAGCAACAGAAAAAAAAAAAACAAAAGGAAGAGGGGAAATTGATGGGGGGTAAAGCAATCAATCTTGGTTTCTCTGAATGAAGAAAAGGCATTGAAATGATGGGAAATAGAGCAGAAAGTCGTGAACTTGTGCATACCTTGGCAGCCTTGGGGAGATTATAAGTGGCGAATTTGCCTTCCAATCTGAACTCGTGCATAACCCAGTTGGTTTTCTCTCCCTTGGGAGCTCTCCCTCGGTAGAAGACGAGGGTCTTCTTCATCCCGACGAGGTTGCCTTTCCCTTTGTAAATCTCTTTATCTTTTCCAGTAGCCTTCCAGTATCCAGACTCGGTGGCTCGATTTGTCCTCATGCCCGTGGGATACTTCCTATCCCTTTGGCAGAAGAAGTACCACTCTTTCTCCCCCATCTTGGCTTTCTCTGCACAATCGCGTTGTTTCATAAGGGTATTATTCAATAAAAAATTCTTTCAAAGCCCAATCAACAATCATGGAACCAGAAACAGAAATTCATGAGATATCAGAGAGTGCTAAATGGAAAAAGCGAAGGATATGAATTAACTCACTGGGCAAGTCCCAAGGCTCGCACTTGTTCAAATCGGCCTCTCCGATGGCAGTTGCACTGAAACTGCTATTCAGCACCTTCTCGGTCAGATAATAAGTAATGACCTCCTCATCCGTGGGGTGGAATCTGAACCCCGGGGGCAAATCCAGAGGCTGATCTTCCCCTCTGTTCACCACGACCGGCTCTTCCATGATCGAATTCTCTCCAAACGATAACAAAACAGACGGGCTTGAAAGATTTATCAAATAGATATATGACACAAACCCAGTATAGAACAAAAACCAGATTATATACACAAAAACACACGAAACAAAGACAGAAGAAGAGAAAGGTGGGCTAATCGGAGGAGAAGGAGAAGAGAGCTTTTAAGAAAATAGAAACGATACAAGAAGGTGGGCTTAAATAGAGAGGAGCGCGTAGAAACAGCTCAGCTCGTGCTTAAGATGCGTGGTATGCAAGGCACTTGCTGGGGAAGCCCCCAATTGTTTTTCTCTCTCTAATTTTATTTTAAAAAAAATTTGAAGGATACGTGTATTTTTACTGGAATGACGTATGTCCCATCTACTTGGCTTCTTCGCTATGTATCTGCCCTCTTTGAAAACGGATGCCCGGAAAGAAATGGTAAAAAAGTGGCCTTTCTACGGCGGTGGGCCCCACTCCTCGCGTTTTTAAATGAAAAATAACAACTTTATCCGCTACCCTCAACCTAACATACGCAGATTTTCATTGCCGTTCCCATCAGCGTTACCAATTCAAAGCTTTCGATGAAGAAAAATTAGTGCGTGCGTGAGAGAGATGACAGAAGCAGCTTTCTACTGAATGCCTAGCTCAAGTTTGATTTGATTTTGGGTACTGTAAAGGCTCACCATTCATTCAGCAGCTTTAGGGGTGTGTGTGGCAGTTTTAGTTTATTTGTTCTGTTGGTTGTTCAATTGTCTCCTAACCTCGTTGAAAAAAAATAAGGTGTCGAATCTCTCTGATTCTCACAGGCTATGTGCTATTGCGCACACAAAAATGGAATCATTGGCAACAAAAGAAAAATATTTTCGTACATGATCGCACCGGACTAGAAGTAGTTCCTCTTTCTATAAAGGCCTTTCACACCTGCAAGTCAATAAAAGAAAGAGGCATGTCAGAACCTAAAACCATATGCGAACTTTCTCATGTTTGATTTTAGCTGGCATGTGAAGACCAATCATCATCGTTTATTTAATTTCTCGTAGGTCTGGGTTCGTTCCCCCTCATTTCTCAGTAAATTTACAAGACGTCTTTTTCCACGACGGCAACATGGCAAGGAAGGTGGTGCCTACACGTGTCGGCACAAGGTAAATCCATTTTTTTTTAATTTTTTATTGGTTCCATTTTAGGATGAATCAGATTGCCCCTTTGAATTGATTAATTGATGAAAGATAAGGTCAAATTAAATCAAGGGAACGAATCTGTCTCGTCTAGCTGGAAATTTAATGGTCAATAAAGAACTGTGAAAATTAATTAGATGGCTAGTAATCTGGGAGGCATGGAGCTTGGGGTTGAGCTTGAATTTTTGTAGGTCCGTGAAAATGCAAATTTGTCATTATCGTTGCATTCACATTAATATATATTTGGAATATGTCTTTTACGAATGAATACGATGGAGTAGCCACTATCCAGATGGAGAAATGCTGAGGGTTGACACTATCTCTGCAACTTCCTTGAAATTTCATTGCAAGTTTCCAAAATGCTAAACGGTCAATTAATTCCATTTATTCCTTTTTTGACGTTATATGTGCTGAGCAAAACAATTATGTGTGTGTGTGTACATATATGCATCAAACGATTAATATATCATATAGAGTATAAACTATAATTTATATGGTGAGGTGTAAATTAAATGGGTGATCATCATTGATAAAGAGGATAAAATAACGAGCATTTGAGATTTATTTATAAAGTGCACACACATGTAAAATAAGAATTGTTCTTTTTTATGTAACAAGAATTGTTCTTTTTTATGTAACAAGCGAGAATCTATTGTTTTTCCTCCAAAACTTAAAAAGTCATATTCTTATCGTTGAAATTAAATGGGGCAGTACTTTATATAAAGTGAGGTCACCGATGGAACTTTTGCTTTTGGTCTTTGGAGGGAAAAATGGGAATGAATACAGATACGACGCTGAAGGGGTAGTGGCACGGTCTTAAATTAAGGGACCGACTTAATCTTTATTTGAGCCTTAGAAAGGTTCCGACTCAGCACGCTCCATGTCTTATCAGAATGAGTGGAGATTAATTTTCGCTCAACTCATATGGACTGAATAAAGTTTAAATTTAAGATACACACGAATTTGAAATATTTCGGGATGAAGACAAGAGAATTAACAATAACGATAAATGGAAGTTAATTTATTTTCAGAAAAATAAGTTGCGAATATACATTTGAATAATTGCAAATTTAAAGATAAATAAAACCATTAAATTTTAAATGTAGCTCCCAAATTACAAAATAGATTACTATATACTCCCTTTGATCTTATTTATAGGGTAGAAAGAAAATTTTTTTAATCCTATTTATAAGTTACATCATTAAATTTTTATCATAAATTTTTCTCTTTACCCTTCATTAAATGTTGGAAAGAGAAGATATGTTTATTAAAGTGTGTATGTTTAATAGGGGCAAAGTTAATAGTTTATTAAATTTTAAGACGGAGTTAATGAGTTTTAAGTTTTTTTTATATCAATAAAATATGGTGGAAGTGACTTATAAATAGGATGAGAATAATATTTACAATTGTTTAAATTGATATTTACAATTGATTACTGTCAATATACTTCTAACATATTTTATTAAAATTTAAAAAAATCTTAAACCTCATTGACCTTCTCTTAAAATTCAATAAGTTTCTACCTCAACCTCTAATGACAAAACAATTATTACATTAAAATTTTTTGTTGCATTCAATGAAGGTAGAAAGGTTACAATGAATATAAAGGAAAAAAAAATCAAATGCCCCGAAAATAGGGGGACTAAAATTAATGTTTCTTCTTCGCCATGAAAATAAGATTAAAGAAATAATTTTTTAAAATTTGCAAAATTCATAACTGTGATTAACAAGATGTTTTGAGATTTTATGGTTCTCTTGTATTATTATTAGACAGGCTCACTGGCATATGATATTCAAACTTCTTTTTTTTTAAAAAAAAACAAATGTTGGAGATAGTGGATAAGGTGGGGGTGGAAAAAGTGAAAGAGGAGAAGTGTTACTTTTTGGGGGACGGTGTAGACGGCAAATGAGAAATGAAAATGGAAAAGAGTCAATAAGAGAATTGAAATTTCTGGGATAATACACACATTCAGAAGATGGCTCCAGGTTAGCTGGTAGTGTCAAAGTGGAAGCGCGTTGCACATTCAGCCTTCAGCTGAGCCGATCCTATTTATTTTACTTTCCAGAAAGAACAACCTACGCTGGGTTTCAACCCTCAATCAAGGACTCTTAATTTTTAAGGGGAAGGTAGGAGAGGCCTGACATTGGGGCGCCGACACCAACTTGGGATTAGAGAGAAGGTTAGGAATTAAGATTTGGAATTGCTCCCAATGATGTTGTCATCATTTGTTTAATGCCTCTAATCAACCGCATTAACTGACCCTGCCACCCCCGCCCACCATGCTCTTCTTTTCTTTAATTTGATTGGAAATCAACCCCATATTTCTTTGCTTGCACATGAGCGCCACGTGAGGGCTTACCAGGGGACATCATTATTCATTTGTGAAAGTTGAGAATTCTGGAATTTTTTTTTTTTAACGTTGGGAAATACTTCCGCCAGTCTTATTTTTTAAATTGTTTCGCAAACACAAGAGTGATCCTTATTACAAGCCACTCAACAAAAAATAGAATAATCTTCTCACTTTATCCTTACTTGAGAAAACATTTGTACAAATTATTAGATGACCTGTCAATTTCCTCTCAATTTCGCATAAGGATATAATTAAACGTTAGAATAAAAATTAACATTGGAGGGAATATATAATTAAAAATCTGATGAAGGAAGGAAGAGGTAATGGAGAGATTATAGGGGGCATTATGTGACACCACCATCAGTACCGCCCCTCCGAATAAAAATTTACGCTTATTTCCTATTTAATTTAATAAAAAATGCATGAATAAAGTGGGAGAAACATGACCCAAAACGTGTGGACCCCATCTAAGCTTCGCCCGCGCCCCCCCCTCCTGCTCACCTGGATTGGATGCATCATCTGTGTGAACAATACCATTATTAATTGATCCCACCATTTCTTCCCCCAAAATATAATAATATATCAACAGTGATTATTCCAACTCTTTCATGCATCATTTTGTAGCCACAACACTATGCACTTTGTATTCCATTATATTATTTTCTCTTGCTCGCTTGGCATACACTCTATTTTTTCCTAAAACAAAAAACAAAAAGAAACAATTTATCATCCATCGGTCAATATATCATACTCACGACTGCTATTTCCCCTTCAAAATATACCCACTCTAAAAAATTATAAAAAAAAATTGGGATTGAAAGGAGATGAGAAAGAGAGTTAAAAAAAAAAATATCTTTCCTTTTCCTCCCGCGCTAACAATCAAATGAAGAATTAAAATTTGATCTGTGCACATGGAGGGTGATACCTAATTATATTAAATTGAACGTTGAATATACGTGCTATTTGTATGCAGATTAAACTTTGGTTCTCGAACATTTGTGAATGTTTATTCCTGGTCAGAATTATTTTTATATAAGTTACAGTTAAGTAATATATTGTTGAAAGGAGGAGTGGAGATAGATTGGATTGGAATGGAAGGATGGAGAAGGTGTTCGCTTGGGCATATAAAACAGCTTTGACTTGTGCACAACCAAACTGATCCGCAAAGCAAAACGGCCTGACGTTTTGTGACGCCACGGAGGAACAACAGCACAACGGCACTGCACGCCTCCTCATACTTACTCTAATGACCGTCGTACGCTTCGCGCCTAAATCCCAAACATCGCACGCCTTTACTATTCCAATCATCATTGCTTCTCCCCGATCAATCTCCGCCCTCGGATCCCCGTACTCTGACGTCACACCACCCCAGACTTCACTTTAAAACGACCGCGCCCTGCGCCCACTCCCTCCTCATCCTTGATCTCACTTCTCACTGCAGAAATTTGAAACCACAGAGATAATGGAAAGGTATCATGGTGATGATGTAAATGTGAAAAAAAAAAATGAAATAAAAGAGAGGAGAAAGGAAGAAAAGAAAATGGTGGGCCATTATGATTTGAGAGTGAGGTGTGGGTCGCAATTATTGGTGATTTACTAACGTAAAGCGCAGCAATCTCAGATTAATTAGTGCGTAGGGCCCCCTTCATATATCCTCAAAAACGAACACTGTTTCATAGGTTGAGACAGTTGGCCCTCTTTCAGACATTTCCCCATTATTATATTCCCATTCCATGGTCCCCAATTAGCACTCTCATTCGTCTTTAATTTACTTCATCATCTTCCTCTCTTCTTTGTCAACAATATTCATTCTAAGTCATTCCCAATATAAACACTCTAAGCAAATATAAATAATGCTGTATAAGTCCTGTATTTATAAATATGGCTTATTTTTTCCTTTCTAAAAGTCAAATGATACTGCCGTCTTTCTCGTTGCTCCTGGATAATTAATAATGAAATAAAGGACATACCAATAGCAGAGATTAGCTCAGGATCAAGAAAAGTTAGGCCTTAATTAGCAGAGGAGGTTACTATTCGTAACACGCAGCTGAAAGAACATCGTTTTCACTTTTAAATCATTGGATTCAAAGCGACTAGTTTATTTATATTAATGCCAAGATGATTGCTACTGATGATATTTAATTCGACCGAAGCATCTAGAAGTGGCATGCCACGCATAGAGAGTGTGTCGTTCATATCCATCCGCGGTCGAGCGGGATTAAAAATCTGTTTTTTGTTTTCCTCTTCGTTTTAATTTCTTTATTAATTTGTGTGTGTTTAGGTCAAGAAGAAAAAGTCTGATTCACACATATGACCAGATCATGATCGCACAGAATAAAGAATAGATGGAGATGGAACTGATGAAAAATAGCTTTCATTTTTCCTTATAGAAAGCAATCCTCTCCTGCATGGGTGATCCCTTAATTAATATTTAAAGCATCCCATAAAGGTCATCGTCTTTAAAGTTGAGGCAAATCAAATCAGCAGGTCCATCCACATAAATCATGCTTATCGTTATCAATTATATATATAAAACACTAAAACTGGAGCTTATTTTTCGGATGGGAGATAAAGATAGGAGGGTGGGTTGGCGGGTGGGGTACTGGTAAAACAGGCGTGTTTGACCCGAGACAGACGAAACGGAAGCGAGATTAACTGGTCTGTTGAACCAGGGGCACGTTACTTTGCTGCATTTTGGATTGCTTTTAGTTGAGGGATAATTTAAACAATTAAGATGTGTTTTAAAAATAATTAACTCAGCTTTCACGGATTGAGATAATGAGAAGAGAATGATGAGGGAAGGCATAACAGAAGATGCTTCGCAAACAGCAATAGGTTCGTATGTTCAACAAGGGTCGGAGGTTTCCTGGGGCAGGATTCAGTCCCTGTATTTGCCACCAGGATTGAGACCAGACCGCACGGCCAGATACTAATACTATTCGCCGACACCAGGCGAGCGATTTGAAATGAAGCCCATCGGCATAGCCTTGTCTGGGCCCATTCGTTTTTAGCTCCATCTTTCAAGGGATTCCATTCCACAATAAACAATTCAAAGTGAATTACTAAATTTATTGACAAAGAAATTAACTCCAATGGAAAAGATTTATATCATGATGAATGATGAATTAATGTATCGAATTTACATTAAAAGGATAAAATACATGTGGATAATCCAAAACTTATTTAAAATAAGTTTGTAAAAGATTTCAGTCATTCATGACACGCATATTCCCCCCCCCCCCCCCCAACAAGAATATTATTTCCCCGAGACTTCAACAGAGGAGGAGGACGCATCCACATTTCACACATTCTAGATTTTCTTAAGCTCCAAATATTATTAATATAAGGGTTCACAAATAAGTGAGGAATGTGCGTGTATTATATCAAGTTACTTTTTCACTTTTCCTCACACTCTTTTTTATAGTGAAAAACAAATTCTTTTTTTACTCCAAGTCACCTGCACAGCGGCACGGGTCAACCGAGTAAGAAACAAATTAAATATGATCTAAAAAATTATTTTGTAAATCAAAGGCATTTCTTATGTTTTAAATAAGAAACAAATAATCACAATAGCAAAAATATAATAAATTTCCGAATGGGATATAATCCTCTCATGGTTCTCCTCTTTGAAACTGAAAAACGACCTCCTCAATTCGTTCATTCCAATAAACGATTTAGTCTGCTATTTGTTATGAAGTCGGTTGAAAAAGTTTCAATCGTGCAGATATAAGAGACACGTGCGGAATTGTTTGATTAGTTATAAATTATATGCTAAAGTTTATAGAACTCCCCTCAACTTTAGTTCAAGTGCACATAACACCCTTTGCCTTTAAAACTTGATTAAAGACCTCCTTTATCTTTCATTTTTACGCATAAAAGCTCCTTTTGTTAACAGAATTGTTAAACCATGAACATATTTTGTCACATTCTATAAATATTACCACATCTTAATGATATGTCATATGAAATGGCTGTGTCAGCCTTTATGTTACGTTATATTACGTTATACTAAGACCGTAAATGAATCAATCCTTCAATTTGTACCTTCGCCATGGTTTCTCTTACCTTCATAATAACATCAACATATGGGGAACATGGTTCACAACATTGAAAAATCAACCAAGTACCTCTCAAATTAACTAAATCCTATTGAATCTATCGGTGACAAATTACTCATCGGCCGATGAGTTCTAGGCTTGGCCAAATCTGATGCGAAAATTTTAGGTTCAAAGGAGTCTCCCACCATTGGGTTGTTAAAATATACTCCATCCATTAAAAAATGTAAAGCATTTTTAATTAAATCTTACTTCTCAATAAAATAATTACCTACTTTCAAACTAACCCTATCTTTTTACATTTACCCTCATTAAACACTCTATAATAAATATAAAATTATTATCAATAGGAGTACTTTTGAAAAAAAAAGCAATAATTACACCTTAAAAGATTAAAAATGTCTTACATTTTTTAACATCTAACTCTTCAAAAAATGCCTTACATTTTTAAATGAAAAGGGTATAATTTTACAAATTGACTCCAAGTTGTCATCAGCTGCATCTAGGTGTTTGTATGTGGGGGCTAGGTAAAATGTGGATCCATACTCTCTTTTTTCCCCCTCTAAAAAGGTTTGAGGAATTTGGACAGAAATGAGGGAAAGATTGAAGGGTACTTTGAAACACATTCATTCATCTTCCCTAAGCCATAACAGACATGTCATTAACTAAACTTCTTGTGGCAAAATCACCAAAAAAAAAAAATGATGTGGCAACATCTGTTAGTGACTTGACAATTCTGTTAAGGCAAGGAGGGAAGAAGACAACATTAGCTTAAATCCATGTATTAGGGATTTCAAAGAGGAAATGTACTTTGTATCGATGCTGTACAAGAAAAATTCAAAAGCCCCCCTTATGTGTTCACACCTAGTGTCCTATAGATGAACCCTTCCCATCCCACCCTGAGTTTATAATTTCATATTTTAATTATTTTTTTCAACAAACTTACGACAACTGTTTGTGCCGTGGAAGATACAGGTTAATAGAGATGAATTAGAACCAAACCATGCTCGTAGCCTTGTCCTCCACGAAGTATCTTAATAGTAACTGATATAGTAATTACTAAACACTAGTTCAGTCCCAATAACAGTAAAGGTTCAACACATGAATGTACACACAGCTGCAGCTCTTTCACCAGCGACACCCACAAACATGCACTCAAATTCATAAATGTAATCGCAGCAGAAACCATTTATAACTTAAAAACACTTCAGCATATCAGACATAAATTAATGTCACTCACAAACAGAAGAGTAATCCGTTCTCACATCTTAAGTTCATAAAGATACCGCGCCTTCAGACCACGACATATTCACCAATAAATTTAGTTCATTATCCTGCGCATTTCACCACGACCATAAATAATAGCTATTCTTTTAACAGAGAAACCAGATAAACAAAATAATGGTGAGCAATAATTTTGTCAACTGTTAATATATCATAGCTCTGAATAAACAAGAATTGACGCTATTTCTGATCAGTTTTTTAAGCTATCAATGAAGGGATATTAGCAGAAGAATTTGGAATATATTATAGTTAAGATTCTTCAATCTCAAAATTATCAAGCAAGTAGAAGACAATGAATTTTTTTTTTTTTTTTTTTTGGGGGTCCGAGAAAGACTTACAGTAGGGTGCGATCCTCCAAAGCTGATTATCACCTTTGTTCCACTCCCAGAGCACTATGGTCGTGCCATCATGAACGCCCCCAGACCTCTTATCACCATGGAAAGCATCCACATTGAGGTGAATATTATTAACCATCCTTATAGCTCTATAGCCATCAGTAATCTCCTTGCTCTCAGTCCACAGAACAGACTCATCAAGATAATCAGAGTTATAACGTATCAGTCGAACCTGCAAAACAATTATCAAGGTCTCTGCTTATTCTCATGACGAAACTGGAATGACTCGAGCATAACAGACCTCGTTGATTAGCGACTACATTCCAAAATGTAAATCAACAAGGAAAGCACACTGATGCAGATCAATTTTTTTAATGACAAAATGATATAATACTTTTATTTCATCAAATTTGGAATTCAAAATTTATGCAGTGGACCAACGCAGCTCATGCAACTTTGTCGAATGAAAATAAATAAAACTGCACGGAGCTCATCATCGACCAATCAAGAAAAGGTCGTGAAGGCAGAGTTCACATAAGAATCATGTTGGAAATGGAAAAGCTAACACAATACTCTAAATTCTAGTAACGTACAGAGCATAATATAAGGAAATGACTCGGTTTTAAACAACGTAGCTAGATTATTTGCTTGACTAGGTAATGTGATGCCCGATTGGTTTCCCTAATAACTTTAACTAGCGGAGCAAAAGAGTCAAAACTTGATGAGAAGGATGTGTTACCGGATGCGTGGCACCGATGGAATGCTTAATGGCCTCACCAGTAGCTTTGTTGACCAGAGAAAAGGCGGGGAACCCCTCTTGATCCTTCACCCTCGTGCTGTACTTCTCCTCCTTGTACCAATGCTGAAAGAATAAGAAACACCACGGACAGTCAAATCAGCCTAACAGAAAGCCAGCAGATCCAGGGATAATCCTATCTTCAGAATTCGGACCGTGATGAAAAAAATAAGAACGTACTCGACCTGCAGACACGTTTACAGTAACTCCCAAAGCCGGACCCAGTAGACGCTTATAATAACACTAATTCAAGGAAATAACCCAGATGCGAATGATGGCAGAAAGACAAATCGAAGGTATGAGAGAGAATATCGAAATTGCGAGTAAATATTACCTGGTAGTCATCAGCGGGGTCGGATGGAGCAAGAATGACATTGCCATCCCGGATGGTAAGGGAGAAATTGGGGGCAGCCCGGGAGAAGAGCCTGACAGTGCGCTTGTTGGAAGACACAGTGACAGAGGTTTCGTGATGAGTGTGGTGGTGAACGAAAGAAGGCAGGTGGGGGCGATGGGTTTGGTGGGTCTCGTAGGTGTCCACGTCATGAGAAACATGGTGCACAGAAGCAGCGGTGTCCGGCAGGGGAGCGTAAGCAGGAACTCGTGGCGGCGGAGGCGGTGCCTCCGATGAGTAACTGTAGGGGAGGGAATCGGACTGAGGAGGGAGATCAGAGTAGGTAAAGGGGCGGGGAGGCGGGTGCGAGGGAACATGAGAAGTGTGGTAGACTTGAGCTGGTTGAGGTACGGGTGGAGGGGGCGGATGATCGACGCCGTAGAAGGAAGGGGGCGGAGGAGGAGGAGGATTGTCGAGGGAAGAGAAATTAGATGCCGGTGGGGGGTAATCTTCAGTCTGTTCGTCCCTCCGGTGATGGTGGGAGTGATGATGAGAGGGATGGCCAAACGGGAACTCCATGACCGATCTTCTTCCGGTGAAATGAACGAGGGGAAACTTGATACGAAATGAAACCACACCGTGTCAGTGTCACAAGATCAACAATGTGGGGCCCTCCGGCGTAATATCAGAGGACACGTGGCCTGCGCATGTTTTGTGAGGACGTGCCCGCGCCTCGAGCGAAGGTGGGGAGGAGTAGGCAACTGGGGACTAACTAAGAATATTTTCAAGACTGGAATTGAAGATTGCCGGTAAAAAGAAAATAATTCTTACCAGTTCATCCAAATATTTGAGATTGGGAGTAGGCAACTTTGAGTATTAATGAAATGGATGGTTGATAATTAATTGATTACTTCGCGGGAGGGAAGTGACAATGCGGGTGTATTACTATTATCCCAAATAAATAATTGGGTGAGGAGATTGGGAAGGAGCACATGCTTAAAATTAGTCTTGTTGGGCTTCAACTCCAAGCCCAATTATGATTTACTAATAGACAATCCTTCTTGCCAGTTACCAAATGATACAGGGCCAGGAAAGGTCTTTGTGAACAATGGACCCAAAAAAATGGATCATCATGCGCTCAAGGGCATTCTAACTTTTGTAATGATACCCAAATGCTGGTGAGTAGATCAAATCACTTCTCTATTATTGAAAAAGCTTTGCTTAACATCCATTTATTCTTGGTCCTCGTGTTTACTATATTTGGTCGATGTCGGCGCTCTTTCTTCCCACCCACCATTTGCTCGGCCAAGATTGTTCATTTATAATGGCATTCGGCTCGTGTTTTAAACCATACAATACATATTTATATTTAATTATTTGTAAATCCCATCTTTCAAGTCTTTGACCCTCTAAGCTAGCTCTCTAATTTAAAATATAAAAATATTTGTTTCACAATTATAACCTTCCCTCTTATAGTTGCAAGAACAATATTTGATATTATGATAGAATTTTAAAATTCAGATGAAGACAACTCTAAAACGTTATGATATTTTTTTTTTATGAAATGAAAATATAAACTAAATCGCTTAATTTGTATGAGTTGGTCAAAAGAATTTTGAGAACGAAAAAAATAAGAGGGTAAGTCAAACAATGAAAAAAATGACATCAATAAATGATGGTCAGTTCAAATTTAATTAACGAATATGACAAGGCATGTGTGAGAGGGAGAGCGAGTTTGATGAAGAGATAAGAGTTTTATTTAACTAAAAGCTATTTTTTTAAATAAATATATTAGTTTTTAATGACAGTGGCATGACAATTCTTTTTTAAAATATATTATGGTAAAAAACATTAGTGCAACAAAGCAAATTATAGATTGACCACATGCCTAGAAAACCAATAACAAATGCGCTCATAAGTAGCTGTGTAAGTAAATAACATATGAAGAAAACTACATGCAAAATAAGGCCCAACATGAATTAAATAACATCCCAACATTGAAGGGATGTGACATATAAACGAGCTAAGCTGGCTTTTTAAGGAGAGAATAATGGTCTCATGACAAGAAGGTATTAGACTTGAACCTGAGCTTATCTAGTCAGTGAGCCTTTCTGGTAAGCCACCCATGACAAAGGCATTGTGAATTAGTTGAGGGAGTTGTTACATTCCACATGTGAGGGACTTAGAGAGAGTCCTAGCCATATAAATAAGGGTGTTGCTCACCCCTACTGATCTAAATTTTTAGAGAGAGAATAATGACCTCATAACAATGTGTTCTATTTTTTCTCCATTATTGTCATTTGGAAGTTTGTTGGAGATCACCCGACCTACTCTTCTACCAAAAAATCATGTACTTTCTGTTGTACCCTTCGTCCCTCTCTATCATTTTTTTTAATTTGTTAATCACATCCCCCTTTCTTAGTTCCTTTCTCTTATTGTTTCTTTCTTTTATTTGTCTTTATTGCTCTTAATGACAAGCAACATATAAACATGACCAACTAACCACAAGATTCCTTTTGAAGTGACTGACGAGTATGTTGATAAAATGTTTTCAGTTGTCAAATTGATGGACACGGCCAAAGCAGCCATAATGGAAAAGTTAAGAAAAGCCAACATTTATTACAACTGCAGGTGACTTTAGACCAACTAACAACGTGAAGATTATAGCTGCAGGTAACTCTAAACCTACCAACAATGTGGACCATATAATGATACAAGCCGAAGCCAGTATCCACGAGATTGACTATGCTACAAGAGAGACTATAGTTAAGGAAAGAAAGAAAAATTAGCGTGCGTAGTGGTAGAAGCAGCTTTTTGCTGCATGCCTAGCCCAAGTTTGATTTAATTTTATAGTATGTAATAAAGTATTGAGATTATAACTCAAATGTTTATAATCATTTAGGTTTATTTTTATATATTATTTTAGTGTAAATTTATCACATCTCTATTTGATATTTTAGGGGATATTTCTTATTATCCAAAATAATATTTTTAGATGATAAGAAATTATATATATATATATATATATATCTTGTCTCTTCATCTCTTATAGCACATAAAATTATTGTAATTCCTATTTTCTATAGTGAAATTATTCACTTTTTGTTGGTGGGTGTTTTGTCCCACATATTAGAGATTTTTTCACATTAAATTTCCTATGTCATCCCATGACAAAGTAGTATCAGAGTTAAATTTGGATTTGTCTAATAGGTGGGCTCTTCCGATAGGTTACTCACAATGGGGGTGTCATGAATGGCCGAGAGAGTTGTTACGTCTTACATCTAAGGGACTTAGGGAGGGTCTTGACTGTATAAACAAGGGCACTACACACCTTATTAAGTTAACTTTTTAGAGAGAGAGAGAGTGAGTGATGGCCTCATAACAATGTCCTCTATTCCTTCTCTATTGCCGTCATTTGAAAGTTTGTTGGAGATCACCCAGTCTACTCTTCCGTCAAAAAAGCCTTTGCATTTTATCAAACTCTCCATCCCTCTTTTTTTTTCTTTTTAATTCTTTAAATGTGTCCTTCTCTTTCCATCCCTTTCTTTTATTGCTTCTTCCTTTTCTTTAAGGATTTTATTATTCTTAATGACCAACAGCATCTAGACATGACCAACCAGCCATAGGATCCTTTTCAAAGTGACGAAAAGGGTCGTTGAGGAAATGAAGTCAACTATCAAATTGATAGACACTGCCAAACCAACCATGATGAAAAAGTTAAGAAAAGCCAATGGTTATTGCAACTGCGAGTGACTTTAAACCCACCAACAACATGGAGATTGTAGCTACAAGTAACTCTTGACCTACCAACAATGTGGACCATATAGGTACATGGAAAGAATGAAAAATTAGTGTGTGATGGCAGAAGCAGCTTTTTACTACTTACCTAGCCTGTGTTTAATTTTATTTTGTAATGTGTACTATAAAGTGTTGAGATTATAGCATAAATATTTATAATCCTTTATGGTTATTTTTATATATTATATTGACGTAAATCTATCACATCTCTATTTGATATTTTAGAGGATATTTATTATCATTTAAGATAATATTTTTAGCTAATAAGAACCTCTATATATATCTTATCTTTTCATCTCTCATAGCATATACAATTATTATAATTCTCATTTTCTATAGTAAAATTATTTGTTTATTACTCGTGGATTTTTTATCCCTCGTATTGGAGGTTTTCTTACATTAAATTTTCTGTGTTTTCTTTCATCAATTTTTCTAATTTCTTTATAATTTTTAATTGTTTTATTATATTTACTTCCGTTTTTTATCTGCGCACTTCCTAACAAGTGCTATTTTTGTCCCACACATTAGGGGTTTTCCAATATTAAATTTTCAATGTCATCTTTTATTATTTTCTCTTACTTATTTATAAGTTTCAATTGCTTTATCCTACTTATTTTTGCTGATTATTTGAGTACTTCCTAATAAGTGATATTACAGCCTGATTCTCAATCAGAATTTTTCATGATGTGTCATGCCCATATCACGGTCTCCTTAAAAAGGAAAATTAATAAATGCAGGAGTCGCCTCCAAAATTTTAAAATAATAATTTTGAAAATCTTTTAAAAAATAAAATGGTTTATAACAATTGTAATAAGGTTTGGGAGTTGATTGTGCTTACAAAAAATATTAGGCACCCCACATCACCTATCCATAAGAACAATTATCCTAAGTTGACTAAACAAAATTAATATGACCTTAAATGAAATTTAATAGTCCTTAATAAACAAGAACAACAATAAGAAAAAATAAATTAAAAAGTATTTATTTACAAGTTGAACTTAACTTAAGATAAAAATTTAGAGCTTGTGTATCCTTTAGAGGGATTAAAACCCACATAGTTCAAGGATAAAAAAATGCTTGTCAGTTGGATAGTATTTTTTAATGAAAGTAATTCTTTATTTTTTTAAAACTAGTTTTTAATTGGATATGTATCTTTTAATTTATAAAAGAGGCTTGTTTCCTTATTCAAGAAAGGGTTTTTTTTTTTGGAAAAAATAGATTGAAAGTTCTGTGAAGATTCACAAAATCTAAGATAGAAATTAATTTATTTTATACTTGCAAAGATTTCAAAAATCTCACATGGTATAGAAATTATTTTTGAATCTAGTTATAACAAAATATCTCTTCTTTTTTTAAAAGAAAAATGGATTTTTAAACAAGTCGCATTATGATTGGTGTGGATATAGTAGCTTATTACCATACATGGCATGCTAATCAACTAGTTACCTGCAAAGATTAAAAATCTTACATGATATGACTAGAAAAATGCACACATAAAAGTCTCAAATCATTTGTGTAGTATGTGCTAGAGAAGGGTATAATAATATAAGTGGTTCATAAAAAGGAAAATAAGGGATCAAACATTTAAAGCTTTATCACTTGCAGCAACTTGGATAATTATTCCAATCATCTCCATCTCTAAGCAAAAGAATTAACCAGCCAACATATGTGCTTGAGTGTATGTGTTCGTGTGTGCTTAAAAACAAGCAAATAGCACGAGTGCTTCTATATCCTTCTTCCTTTGAATATGTATGTGTAAAAATCGTGCTCCAAATAAAAGAAAAGGTTAAGGGTTATTTTTATCCCTAAAGTACACACGAAGGGCCACAAATGAC